AGCACAGATGCCATATGTCCTCATATCCTGCCTGTCACATCCATCTTTACCCCGCTCTGGTAAGTGGAGAAGGGCTGGCAGTCATTTCTGCAAACCTAAAGACTTTCTGCACCGTGCTCCTAAGGCATATCTGTGGATGATGCCGGAGAAAATCACGGTCCCCAGGAAAGCGTGGCTGGCACAAGGGCCGCTGGCCCTGCAGCACGTTGGTGGCTCTCACAATGACACCGTCATGATTCTCCACCTCTGCTCTTTTGCAGACATCACTGGGCAGGGAGGAGAATCTGCTTGATGCCAAGAGAACCATTTTTCTTACAGCCAGAGGACCTGCCTTGGTCTAGAAAGATAAATTCAGACAGGCCAGGCACACAGGAAGAAGACTTGGGCAGCCAAAGCAGCACAAAAGAAACAGCAGGTAGACACCGCCCCCTGGTGCCAGAGGGTCGATGGAGATGGTGAGGAGGGAGGACCCTCCCCGGGACAAGAGAGAGGTGCAGAGATAACGTGGAGAGAGATAAGTACTCCCAGCGCATGAGCCCCAGGCTAAGCCACGGCCCCGGGCTCCCTGAAAGAGTCCATGCCAGCCAACCAAGCAGCAGGGCCACAGTGGGGTTCCTCTTCCCCTTTTTCTGCTCTTCCTCCCTTTTTTTTTTTTTTTTTTTTTGGAGACAATCTCACTGTGTAGTCCAGGCTGCCCGTGAACTCACTATCAAACCCAGGCTGGCCTTGAACTCCTGCGATCCTCCTGCCTCAGCCTCCTGAGTGCTGGGATTACAGGCATGCACCTTCATGCCCTGCTCATCTTCCCTTTTTAAACTCTGCACCTCAAAGAAAGCACATAGGACGCTGATAAATGGAGTGAACTGTGAGACTTGGGGAAGTGCATAAACATATTCTGAAGTCTGATGGTGAAGGAGCGTGAGAGGGCTTCGGCTGAGCTCGGGGGTAACTGCCAGGCTTGCGTATCACCTCCACAAACAGTAACACGTGGCTTAGTTGCTCTTTTGCGTGTCACCAGCAAACCATTCCCTGCCGGCCCCTCGCCACAGACCAAGGCAGTGGAGCTACCGTGACAGGCTTCAGGGGAGCCGTAGGCATATCACTGACTTCATTCCAAAGGGAAAAACTAACCTGTCATCCAGGTCCACCGCCTTCCAGAAGGAGCCTTGACCTGCCCTGGGCTGGGACACCTTCCTAGGAAGGTGGTGGCAGAGGAAGGGGACGGCGGCTGAGGTGGACTGGGGGCTCTCAACAGGTCCTTCTATCCGCCCGATCCCTGTCCTTGAATGGACTGAAATCTCCGGGACTGGTTTTCCATATCGTGTGGCAGCACCTGGTGATCATTTCCTCCTTTGTCCGTCAGTTTGGGGTCTCCGGGCTGCAGCCCGTGGTTCAAAGAGAGGGCACTGGGAGCTTAGCTGGCTAGAACTGATCCTGGGGGACCAGGATGCCAAAGTCAATTAGGGACGATCACCTTTCCTCTGGGGATGTGTTTGATTCTTCCCACTATCCTCGAGCTGCCCGCCCCTGCTCTTCTCTCACCTCCCCTTCGTAGTCCAAGCCAAGGGTTAGGTTACCTCAGGAAGGCCAAAGCTTTGGAGGTGAAAAAGTGCACCTGGGCGAGGAGAGTGGGTCCCTTTCTCCAGTGGGTGATGGACCCCCATGGAGTTGCACCCCAAAGAACTCAGCCTTCACCCTCTTCTCCCTGCCAAGGTGCAGCTTACCTGGCATTAAAACGGTTCCTCCCTGCCCAGCTCCTCACTGGCCCCGTGATCCCCTGAACCCTTACGTGCACTCTTGATCCCATGTTTCCCGACACTTGCAGTCCCTCAGTCCAAGAGGACTGCACCCCAGCCGGTCTTGCCGATCTCTAACAGGCTCTGATTCCACATCCTGCCTGTTGGCGCTAGAGTTCTGGAAGCCTTGGCAATACCAAAAATGGAATGGGCCATGCTCATTATGTAGTGGAAAAATTCCAACTTGGTAGATCAGTCGCAGAGCTTAGCTAGTCTGGCTCGAGCTCCACCACACACAGTTAGGAAGAAGTATCTCCCAAGAGCTGGGTCACCTGGCGCGCTGGTCCAGATGTCTGGGCCTCACGCACCTGCGCTCCTGTGGCTGCCTGTGGGGATGTTCTCAGCTGGATGTTGACTTGGGAGGAGAAACACAGGCTGCCCTGCGAGCGTGAGGAGCAATTCGTACAGCTGCCTTGAGTAATTATCCCAGACAAGCATCGTTCCTCTATCTACTGAGGCCATGGGTACGCAACCAGCACTCAGGACATGGTCCGTGGCTTGGTGTGTTCTCATCCCTCTTAGCAACAGAGCCAGATCTAGAACTTGAAAGTCTTTGTTTCCTTCCTGAGAAGGCTTCTCACCTGGCACACCAACACTTGAAGTTTGACTATTTTCTTTCCTAAAGAGGTTAAGATCAATAGATTCCAGATTAAGATCAAGAGATTAAAACAAGAGTGAGAAATTAAATCAAGAACAACAAGAAAGAAATAAACTCAACAGAGGCTTTTTGAGAAGGATTTGTATATATGTACTTTTTTTTAAAATCAGAGTCACTGAGGTATATAGATCAGTGGACTGTTTTATAACTTGTGGGGTTTTTAGTTAGTACACTTTTAAAACTTACTACACAGGCACTTCTGATATCCACCTCAGTAGTGTCAAGTACATCCACATTGCTGTGCATCCAGTCTCCAAAATTCTTTTCATCTTGCAAAACAAACTCTTTATCCATTTCCTTTCCCTTCAGCCTTGGCTACCACCATCCTACTTTCTGTCTCTACGAATTTGACTTCTCAGCACCTCATGCTCCTGTTAATGGAATCATATCATTCTCGGCATTTGTTTTTTGCTTTTCCTCACTGCCGTGTTGTACTGTCCTCAACTTCCATCCATCTGTCAGAATTTCCTTCCTTTCTGAGTTGTATCGCATTCTGTTTATTCATCCTGACGATGGACATTTGGGTTGCTTCCACACTCTGGCTATTGCAAGTAATGCTGCTCTGAACGTGGCTATGCAGATATCTCTTCAAGACTGAGTTCTGTAACTTGCACTTTTTAAAACTGAGTTAAGGAATGATCCTAGAAGAATCCTATTCCATGATGTCACGTAGCCTTGCATCCTTTATCATTTGGGAAGAAATCAGAAATGCAGCACTGTGTTTGCCTGTTTTCTGCTGCTATACCAGAATACCACAATCTGGATGATTTATAAATAAAAGAAATTTATTTTCCACAGTCTGGAGGCTAGAAAGTCCAGGATCGGGTGCCAGCATCTGGTAAAGGCTTCTTGCTGTGTCACATGGCACGGTGTGAACAGGAAGCATACAAGCTCAGATCTCTCTTCCTCTTGTTACAAAACCACTAATCCCATCCTGGGGTCCCCACCCTTACAGTCTCATCTAACCCTGATCACCTCTCCAAGACTCCGCCTCCAAATACCATCAGCATATGAACTGGGGGATTAAATTTCCAGCACAGGAACTTCTGGGGACACCTTCGACCATTGGAAGCACTAATTTCACCAGGGAGCATTGCAAACATCTATGCATGCTTATTCTTCAAGAGCTTCTGGTGGTGACCTTCAGCAAGCCCTGCTTAGAGAATCACCACAAAATAAATACTAGCAACAGGTTAGCTCTACCTTAGTGACTGAGTCATTGATCAAGGGCAGAACTTGCAATGACCTTGTGGATTGCTAAAAACCATCATCCCATTTCGTATCACGGGGACCCTTCCCCAGGTCGAGAAGGGACTTGGCCCATGGGGAGAGACTGTCATATCCAGCCGCAGTCTGTCCTTCTCCTGTGTGCCCTTCTCACTGACAAAAATCTGCAACTAGCATCTGTGATCCTGTTTCAAAGTCAGAAGATGGGCAGAGGCTGAGGAGTTGCTAAAATAATTTAATGAGCAAGTTGATCAAAGAAATGATCTGTGAACACATCTTAGGGGAGTGCTACCCAGCCCTGTGGACAGATGGGATTCTTCTCCTGCCCCAAACAGCATCTCTTTTCATGCCCTTTCATTGTCTGCAGGCGTGTAAAATCTATATTCTCCATCATCTGGCATTCAAATACCTAAGTCGGCTTCCCTCTCAGCCCAAAGATGATTGGGGAGCTGAAGTGTTAGCATTCTACCCCCCTGCCAGGAGGAAAGGGAATCTGGTTCAGGGACCAAAGCAGAACTTATTCATCTCATCTTTTAAGAACCCTGAGACAGAGTCCTCCACAGCCCCCCAGACCCAAGGTCCCCCAGCATTAAAGAGCTGTAGAAATCAAATGCACATCCATCATAGAATAGCAGGGAAGTGGGGGTGAAGGTGACAGATGCTGACGAGTGAATGCACACCTTTGTGCTCCTGCCTTCTTAAAATTCATCCCCTCACCTGCCAGCCTGCAGAGTTTCCTATTTACATAACTAGCTGCCTAAAATGGAATGGGGGATAATGGTACGTGGTGGCTCCCTTCATGGGAGCCCGTCCCCGGGATCTGAGAGCGATCCAGAAGCCCTCCGACAGCCCGGAGCGCGCCATGCTGGCCTGGAGCCATGCCTGCGCGTGGTGTCATCTGTCAGCCCTCCAGAGACTCGCGAGCAGGGGGCGGGGGCGCGCTGTCAGCAGAGGACAGTCAGTGTCTCTTCTGGGGCTTTGCAGCGGGGGGCCTTGTTCTGCCCAAGGTGCTGTGTCATAGATGACCCACACAGGGCCGTGGAGGGGGGATCACAGGCCCGTGGGGACAGCCTTGCACACGGGAGGCGATCTGTCTGCTCTGATGCCACCCCGGGCGCCATGCCAGCCTCACACCCCCTGTTGGTCCTTTCCACAGCATAAATCTCTCCCATCAAAACTGGAATCATGCTGCTCACTTATAGGAGGAGCATAAATAAGTGATAAGGAAATGTTCTGATAATGATAAGCGGGCATAGCTTCTCAGCAGACCAGATGTATCAAAGAAGGCAATTGTGTGTGTTTGTTCATTTATTTTTCAGCGTTCCGGTTCCTGTAGTCAGTTTAGAGAAAATCCCTAACCTAGTGAAGGCAGACGGTGCCAATGTCAAAATGAACTCTACAACCACTACTGCGGTGACCTCCTCCTCCGCCACCTCCTCCTCCTCCGCTGCCGCCGCCAGCTCCACCCCACCTTTAATTAAGCCTGTCCTGATGTCCAAGTCAGTGCCACCTTCACCAGAGAAGATCCTAAATGGCAAAGGAATTCTGTCGGCCACCTTAGACAAGAAGCACCAAAATGGCACCAAAAACAGCAACAAGCCTTACCGGAGACTTTCAGGTATGTGTTGGCGTCATTAGAGTCTGGCTCATAATAAGACTGCCGTTGAGTCTGATCTGTAACCGAGGAGTGACATGCTCTTATAATGAACCAGCTCTGTTTGGCTTTAAGAGGGATGCAGAGTTTACCTGTGAGTGGAAACAACCACCCAAAGCACAAGGGAGAACTGCATCTCCTAGTCCCCAGAGCTTGTGGGCAGGTGGCCCATGAGGCCATATCATGCGGACCGGCAACTGTCCCCTGGCTGCCCTGGATTCGTCACTGCTGTGAAGGTGGACAGTCCGCAAGGCTACCTCATAGTGGCTCTGGGTACCCTGGGACAGCCCCATCAGCAACATACCACACAGAGGAGAGACACAACCTCTGTCCCTTGTCCTTGGGGTCTCCAGGTAGCTCCTGCAGTTGGGATAGAACTGCCCATTCCTTGTGATGAAGCTGGAATTCCCAACTGGGAAGGCCCAGGTCAGCACAGCAGGTGGGGAGTCGGGAGGTCTCCCTTGGCCCACTCCTCAGCTTCTGAACACTCCTGGTCACTCTCTGAGGTGACAGCTGCCCTGCTAGAGGCCCCGAGTGGGTGGTGTTTGCTTTGGATCTGTTGTACAGCTAAACCTGGCAGCTGCTCCCTCCAAAGGAGCAGGAAAAGCTATGGACTTCCTAGCTCTGCACATACACCGCAGGCATAGCTAATGGTGGCCAGAAAAATCAAAATACAGGGAAGGCCACCCCTGAGAGAGAGGTGTTTTCTGCCATGAGTATGTTTTTTAAGTACCCAAGGAAGTGTGGGTAATTTTTAGTTTCTACTTTGTGTTTATCTGTGTTTCTGGTTTTTCTAGCTTACATCTGTAACCCTTGAAAAAATGATGTCTTGAAAGTAGCTCAGGGGCAAAGCATTGAAATGAGACAGGTGCTGTGCCCCCGACATGCCCCCTCTGTACCCCTCGCCCACTCTGAGCACTTTGGGCCGAGCCCTGACTCGTAGCTCTCTTCACACGTGGAGAATGCAGCCTCATCTGCAGACGTGGGTAGTAACATCCCTGGAGGAAAAAAATAGGCCTGGACCCCGCGTCCAGATACTGTGAGTTCCTCATCGAAGCAGAAGCCTGGCCCTGGCTCCCAGCCTGCGCCCCAATCTAAAGTTGTCTGGGGGTTGGGGGTGGGTGGTCATTCTTTGCATTCTGTTGGTTGTCTTGTCATGCTGGGTCTTCTGCTTGTTTCTCCCTTGCTGTCACATTTGGCAACCAGCTCCTGCCCCCTGCTAGTACCCTGCTGTGCTCCAGGCCAGCAGGAGGTGCAGGTCCGGGACCTTGGCCCAGGCCTGACTCTCGCAGGCCCGAAGGAAAGGTTCCCCTGGCGGGGAGCCCGGACCCAGCACCCAGGCACTTGCGGCCTGCTGGGCACAGGACTCCAAGGAAACAGCAGCTCCCGGCTTCACAGCTTTCGTTTCTCAAAAAAGAGGAGGGAGGCATTTTGATAGCCTGGGGTGTAAAGATGGCTTCCAGCAGAATCAGCCTTCCTGTTGCCACTGCTTTCTGAAGCCCAGCCCGCCCTGGACAGGGCATTTGCACTCGCAGACAATTTGTGGCTAGGTGGCCTCTCTCGAGTTTGCAGCCATGGAGGCCCAGGACGCCCCAAGGCTCTGCAGCCACTCCTGCTAGGAGTCACGCTGTGCCATCCCTGCTCTGTGGGGACAGCAGAGCCACCCCAGAGCCTAACGGGGCCTTAAGAGACTGCCTTGGGCTGGGGATTTAGCTCAGTGGCAAAAAGCGCCTGCCTGGCAAGCGCAAGGTCGTGAGTTTAGTTCCCGGTACCGGAGAAAAACCAAAAAAAAACCAAAAAAAAAAAAAAAAGAAGAAACTGCCTTGTATCCCCACATCCGCTCACCAGGCCTGGTGAGGTTTTATGGTCCTCTCAGAGGGGAGAGGGAGCTGCAATGGGCATAGAAAGAGCAGGTTCCTTACGAGTGATCTCCACGTGGGCCATCAACAGGAGGGCGGGTCTGGGGAAGCCCAGGCTCTCCACCCAGCCCGCTGCATCCGCGGGAAGACAGCGCTTCAGGGCCAGGCCTGAGGCAGAGCACAGGTCCAGCCACACAAAGCTCACAGCAGACTGACCCTGGCCTTGCCTGGGACAGTGCTGGCATATTCCTGAGCCAGGTGCCAATCTTGCAGGGCTGAGAAGCCTCACCGAGGGCTGTCAAACCCGAGAGGAGGTTACACTGGCATGTCGAGGAGCACTCTGTCCCTGAAATGGCCATTCTAGTGAGGGGGGGCTCTTGGGACAGCTGGGAAGAAGGGGCCTCAGTCTCAGACGGCTGTCCCTGCAGGCTGTGTGCCCCGAGTGTCACCAGCAGCATGGCACCCCCCCTTCTGGTGCCCGCACCCCGCCCTGTCCCGCACCCAGGGCTGGACTTACAAACTCTGGGTTCAGGGAGACCACTATTCTCCTCTGAGCGGTTCTTGAAGCATTTTAGCAGCTGGTTGGAAAAAAAAAAAAAAAGATTGCCTGACAATGTCTCACTTGTTGGTGCAAATGTGCATTTAAAAAAAGGAAATGTAGTCTTAATGCCAAATCCTATTTAGTCTCCTTTTTTCTTATATTTTTTGTTTGTTTCTTAAACCAGAGAGAGAATTTGACCCAAATAAACACTGTGGAGTATTGGATCCCGAGACAAAGAAACCTTGCACAAGATCCCTCACCTGCAAGGTATTTCTCTTTCCATAAAAAATACTTCCTGCTCTTGCTGGGGCCTTTGTCGACCTGTTTGCATGCCACTCTCTGCACACGGCAGGGTGTGGAGCCTCGACATGACCTCCAGCTGTTCTTTGTAAGGGAAATGCTTTCTTCTGGTCCATGGTAGCAGAGTGCCTGCCTCAAGCTGGCTGGCTTTTTAAGGAGGAAAAAAAAACTAGGCTTCCCCTGTTACTTGGGAGGCCAGACAGTAAATTGTATTTATAGGCACTCACAGGCGGTTCTAAAGCCTGCTACGTTTTAATGTATGCAGGAGCGGCGGTGGCGGTGGCGGTGGTGGTGGCAGCAGCGCCCTGAAAGGCAGCCCTGGAGGGGAGGATGCGGTGCCACGCCCCTGATCCAGCCCCGTGCACGGGTGGCCTGGGGGACCCGGGCTCACAGCGGCTGCCAGCCGGTGGTCCAGAGCCCATTTCCTCCTGAGCTGCTGGTGCTCCTGGGGACTGAGGCTGTGGCCCTCTCCGCCTGGTGGTTCTGTCTGTCCGAGCCAACGCCACCTCCCACCTGCACCTGGATTCATCCTCGCCTCCCCTCCCGGTCACCTCTCACAAGAGAGGTTTTTGTGGGTTTGCGCTGAAGCTTGGGCCTCTCAGGAGATTTTTTTGGAGGAAGCTTTGGCTTCTTCACAGCAGGAGCATAGGGCCTGGTTGCATTCGTGTGGTCTCTGCCTCTTCCCAGCCACAGAATAGGAGCTGCTGCCTTGAAGTTGACTTTTAAAGCACCTCTAAATTCCCATGGTTGCTATTTCTGAAATGCAGGGCCTGGGGAAGCAGGTTTATGTGCTGATCAAAGAGGCTGTGCTTCGCGTCTCTCTTCTCCTTAGACACACTCGCTAAGCCATCGGAGGGCAGTCCCAGGCCGGAGAAAGCAATTCGACCTCCTCCTGGCGGAACACAAAGCCAAGTCCAGAGAGAAAGAAGTCAAAGAGCATCTCCTGACTTCTACAAGGGAAATATTTCCAAGCCAACCTGGGCCGGTGCAGGACTCACTGCCAGGATCTACAGGGAGCTCGGGGCCAGAACCGAAAGTCGCATCCCCTGCAAAACCCAGGCCACCTAACTCTGTAATACCCAGGTAAGCCCTGCATTGGTGACAGAATTCCTGAGCCCTTGGCCAAGGGACTTTATCTTGCTGCGTTCAGGGTGTGTGGTTTGATCATGCATTAAATGGCAAGCCTAAGGGTACCACCGCACATGGCACTTGTGAAGTTTAAGTGAGATCATGTGCACGAGGGACTCAGCCTGGTGCCTGCCACTCCGTGTCCGTGAACTTACTGCTGTCATTGCCCTTGTGGTGGTAGCACCAGCCTTCCCTGCAGACCTGTTCTGAGACAGTGTTTTTAGGGAGCGAGAGTGAGCTGGAAGTAAAAAGCCCAGAAGGGTGACACATCAGCCACCAGACAGCTTCCCGGCTGCCTGGGGTTTTGTATTAGTTGAAGATTCCTAGAGCAGAATGGGGAAGCCTGGGTAGACGGTAGTCAGCATGCCTTGAGAGCTCACTGGACCGTGCCAGCCTGTCTGCCACAGCATTTTGTGATTTATCTTCCACGACTGTCCTATCATCAGGACGAAGGGAACTTGGCATAGTTGAGTCTGTGTGTTCTTACATTTCTCTCCAAGTCAAAAAGCTGGTTTTTTGAGCCACCTGTTTGAGGTTTTGATTGGTTATCCCAAACAGAGAAGACTCCACTCAGATTAAGAACAATCTAAAATCTACACGTGTCTTTTGATGGGCGGTGGACCGATTTCCGGGTAACAGGATACGGAGCTATAGTCACTCTGTCACACTCGTGGAGTACTTACTCTGTAAGCAAGGTTCTGAGAGAGGTGCTTTCAGACGGGGGTCTGAAAGAGAGAGAAAGAAATGACACTAGACCCTGACTTCCAAAAATGTAGTTTAAAAAGTGAGATAAGGGGCCGGGGATATAGCGCAGTGGAACAAGCGCCTGCCTGGCAAGCACAAGGTCCTGAGTTCAATCCCTGGTGCTGCAAAAAAAAAAGTGAGATAAGGTGCAAGTATCCATGTTCTGCACAATTAATACTCCATGAGAACTACAGGTACGGGGATTATCTGATGACTTTCTTATGCACACACTGACCTTAGCAGGTAATTGTCCAATAAGCAAAAAGGCTTTAAGAGAACATCGTTTGTGAAGAACAGGAAGTTGATTTTTAAAGCAAAACTTCTTGCCCTCCTGCACGTGGCGCTTTGGCACAAGCCCGAGTGGGCCTGGAGCACAGTCCCTCCGTGGTGACAGTGGAGCCCATAGTGCACGAAGGGGGTGCAGTCAGGGAGCTGCCATCTCTCCGCTTCTCCATCGCCACAACCTTTGTGTCATTACTGTCCCTCCCATTGCAACGTCATCAACATCCGTCGCCGGGTGTTGGTGAAGGGTAGTAACCTTGGTTTAGGACTGAAGGAATCGTTCTAGTCCTGACTTCTGGGAGGGGCTTCAGCTCTACACGCAGTCACCCTCCATCATCCCAGGCCCCCAGTGGAGGCCTGAAGTGCAGCAGGTGCCAAGCTCTGTAGATAGTTTTTCCTGTACATATATCCTTGGGATAAAATATATCAATCAGGCACCATAGCTAGTAATAAAATTAATAAAATAGAACATTTATACCAGGTGTGGTGGCCCGCACCTCGAATCCTAGCGCTTAGGAGGCTGAGACAGGAGGATTGCTGTGAGTTCAAGGCTATCCTGGGCTACCCAACAAGTTCAAGGCCAGCCTGAACTGCATAGTGAAACCCTGTCTCAAAAAACAAACAAACAAACAAAAAAAAAGAATGATTAAAACAATATAGTGTAATAAAATTGCCATCATTACTACCCTTGTGCTCTGGGGCCACAATTAAATAAAATGAGGGTTCTTTGAACACAAACACTGCAGTACTGTGATAGTTGACCTAAGAACCGAAACAGCCGTTAACTAACAGGGGTATAGCATATAGAGTGTGGAAACACAGAAAAGGGATGATTCATGTCCCAAGTGGGACAGAGTAGGTCAGTCGCACAAGATTTCATCACACTACTCAGAACTGTGAGTTTAATGGACTGTTTATTTTGGGAGTTTCCATTTAGCACTCTTGGACCTTGGTTGACCATGGGTAACTGAAACATCAAAATGAAACCATGAGTAAGGGGGACCTTTGCACAGTGACTTTCAAATTCTTTGTAGCTATGGAACATTTTCATCGCAATACAACCTTCCATGGGCCCCATGCAAAAGCAGACTTGCCTCTACCTGAATCTTGCTTAGCCCTTGCCCTGTCACACACACACCCAGAGTCATTGTCCCTTGGACGCTTGGAGGTTCACATCCTCTCAGATTTGCCAAAGACACCAGGGAGCCTTGTTTAAAAACCCTTTTTGGGGGGGCTGCGGGGAGTCTTTTTGAGACAGGATCTTGCTATGCAATTAGGCTGGCCTTGAGCTCACTTTGTAGGCCAGGTTTCAAACTTGCAACGATCCTCCTGCCTCAGCCTCCTGAGTGCTGGGATTATAGGCATGCACCACCATGCCTGGCTGAAAAAAAAAAACATTTTCATTAAACATTTTTTCCATGGATGTTTAGCTGGTGTCACTTTTCACCCCAACACTGGTGCCCAGGTTAACGGAGAACTAAGGGGGCAGCTGTTCAAAAGTAAAACAGCCTTAAATATCTTTGCTCTGTTCCTTTTTGTGCTTAATGTAGTGATGAGATCCAGTGCCATCAGAGATTGCAAATGCATGGTCAGATTGAGCATTGTAGTCCCATGAAATGTATAAAAATATGCATTTATTCTTATGAATGACACATATAATGGTTCTTCCTAGGGATGTGGCTCAGGCATTGAGCATTTGCCTAAGTGTGAGCAAAGCCCCAGGTTTGATCCCCAGCACCACACACCAAAAAATCATTTGGCAGAAAAGAAAGAAAACTACTACACATGAATGGAATTACCATAATCCCTTCCCGATTATGAATTTCCTCTATGGCAAATGCTAACATCTGTGAATTTATTTCTCACCTATCTCTTTGATAACATTGAAAATATTGAGTTCTCATATCTTGAGTTGCAACCCCTTCTTGGCAGACATTGCTGAGAAAGGAAGTTGGATCTAGAACTAGAAAAGTGCAAGTTAGATAACAAGGACTGAAATGGGATTTGAAGGGGAAATTTCACCCCTGTGCTGATTAACTAGATGGGAGGTATATCTTGCTTCCCAGCCTCTTCTTCATCTGTAAAATGGAGCCAATAAGCACCAAGTACATAATGCTCAGAGGACTGAGAGCTGGGAGTCAGTGGGAATATTACCCCAAGAGACAGCAATGTGAGTGAATGCAGGCCTTCTTTCTACTTGGTTTTTGTTTTGTTTTGTTTTGTTTTGTTTCTTTTTCGGTGATGCTGGTGATATAACCTAGGAATTTCCCACTGAGTTACATCCCCAGCCCTTTTTAATTTTTACTGTGAGACAGAGTCTTGCTAAGTTGCCAGGCTGCCCTTGAACTTGCAATCCTCCTGACTCAGCCTCCCAAGTAGCTGAGATTACAGGCATGCACCACTGCGCCCAGTGCTACCTGATTTTTGTGTGCCTTCCTCCTGAGCCTCTGTCTCCAACCTGAAGGCCCTGAGTAACATACTGAGTCCATTTTGGCTTGCTATAGTAACACACCTGACATAGGGTCATGCATAAAGAAGGGAGGTGGTTTGGCTCATCATTCTGGCTTCTGGACAGTCCACGCAGCATGGCCCTGGCTCTGGCAAGGGCTCTCCAGGCTGCATTACACATGGCAGAGAAGCAGAAAGGGAAACCGCTGCATGAAGGAGCATGGTGCAAGCCAGGAAGCGAGAAGTGAGGGAGAGGAAAGGCTTGGTGCTTTACGACAGGCCACTCTCGCGGGGACTAGCCCACTCTCAGTGGACTGACCCAGCCTGGGAGACCAGCCCTGGTCCCTTCTGAAGTTCGTGGCCTAAGTGTTACCCTTAGGCCCCACCTTTTAAAGGCACCACCCCCACACTGAGAACCAAGCTTCCCTTAGATGAGCCTTGGGACCGCAGCTCAGACTAGATGCCATGTTTCTTTGCCCCCAACTCTAAGGGGACTCACCGCTTGCCCCACAGAGCCCAGGAACTGTGGACGATGATTCCAGCCAAACTCCTCAGGACTCTGCTGGAGAGGATGATGCAGGCAAAGGGTTGAGCGGGACTCTGACATGGCCGGGTGTAGCCCTGGCGGGGAGGAAGGAGAGGCAGGCTGGGGAAGCCAGGGCTGGCACCATCTGGGCTTGTTCCCCTGTGTCACATATGTTCACACACCCAGTATAAAGTATAAAATGCTGGGGTGTGGTGGTGCACACCTATAATCCTAGCACTCTAGGAGGCTGAGACAGGAAAATCTCAAACCCACCCAACACACAAAAATTGTATAAAGTGGAAAAATCTAATGAATATTAGACTGATGGCAATATGGAGAGGCAGAGGTCCTAGATCCCTAAGGAAGTCAGGGATGAGCCTGGAGTAGAGTAACTCAGTTCTTGACTCCAAAATAGTATTCTCAAGCCGGGCGTGGTGGCACACACCTGTAATTCCAGCACTCAGGAGGCTGAGGCAGGAGGATCACTGTGGAGTTCGAGGCCAGCCTGGGCTACAAAGTGAGCTCAAGTCCAGCCTGAACTGCATATCAAGACCCTGTCTCAAAAAGACCAAAAAAAAAGTAGACAGCACAGAAAGCCTCACTGGCTTTGCCACGGTGCCCCTGCCCCTGAAGCAGAGGGCAGCTGCACTCTCCGAGGCAGAGATGTACAGGCCGTGCCTGCAGCAGGGGACCGGTCAGAACCAGTGCCTCCTCCCCTCCCCAAAGCACTCAGATGGACGGATGATCACCGCCTCAAAGTGGCAGAGTGGGACGGCCTCCCTGAATGTCCCAGCACAGAGACCCTATGTCATAGAGTTTGTCTTTAGGCCAGATAGGCGGGTGGCCGGGGGACAGGCAGTGTAGTCAGAGGGGGATAGAGTGGGCAGCAGTTCAACAGCCTGAGTGGCTTTTCTCTCTTCCTCTGTCCTTCTCTCCTTCTCTTCCTCTCTCCCCG